CCAGAGTCCTGGCCTGCAGCCACACTGGAGATCTAATCCAGTTTGACACCACTTTAACTACCACGGCCCCACCTTACATGAGATCTGTAATTCATTGTGGCATCAGAACACTCTGACAGAGAAGGGTAAATATCTCACAAAACTACAAATCCCAGGATTACTGAGCACTAAGCCAAGACAGTTAAAGTGGTATCTACTCCAGCAACTCCATTGTTGGCAATTTATTGGATCAGTTCCAATCTGTGAGTACCGATGACGTGGACAAGCTCCTTGGAAAAATGAGGAAGACAACTTGCCCTCTCGATCTGTGTCCATCTTGACTGGTCGTCCGGGGGGGGGGGGAATGTGCTGAGGGTATTCCTATGGGATGCAATCAATGTGTCCTTCAGAGAAGGCACTGTTCTATCATGCTTGAAGGAGAAGGCCATCAGGCCACTCCTGAAGAAACCTTCCCTGGACCTCCTGGATAGAAACAGTTATAGACCAGTCTCCTTGCTTCCTTTTTTAAGCAAGGTGATCGAGAGGGCACTTGCTTCCCAACTCCAAGCAATCTTGGATGAAACCGATTATCTTGATCCATTTCAAACCGACTTCAGGACAGGATTTGGAGTGGAGACTGCCATGGTTGCTCTGACCGATGACCTCCGCTTGGGCATCTACAGGGGTAGTGTGACCTTGTTGGTGCTCTTGGATCTCTCAGCAGCTTTTGACACTATAGATCATGCCATCCTCTTGGATCACCTGAGAGAGTTAGGAATCGGAGGCACTGTTTTGCAGTGGTTCTGTTCCTTCCTCTCGGGCCGATCCCAGAGGGTGAGGCTCAGGGACAGTTGCTCTTCCAAAATCGAGTTAAATTATGGCATCCCTCAGAGCGCCATCCTGTCCCCAATGCTATTTAATATTTATATGAAGCCGCTGGGGGAGATCATTCGGAGGCATGGAGCATGGTGTCATCAGTATGCTGATGACACTCAGATATACTTCTCCATGACCCGGTCGTCTGCCCAGACCTCAGATGGTGTCTCTCCTCTCAATGATTGTCTTAAGGCGGTAATGGATTGGATGAGGAAAAACAGATTGAGACTGAATCTAAACAAAATGGAAGTACTAACAGTGACGGGCCCGAAACCAGGCTTGGGAATACACCT